CTCAAATTCTTACTGTAGACTGGCTCCTTCCACACAGACCTCCCAGATTCTTAATATAGACTGGTTCCTTCTACACAGACCTCTCAGATTCTAACTGCAGACTGGCTTCTTCCATTCAGACCTCCAAGATTCTTACTGTACACTGGCTCCTTCTACACAGACCTCTCAAATTCTTACTGTAGACTGGCTCCTTCCACACAGACCTCCCAGATTCTTAATATAGACTGGTTCCTTCTACACAGACCTCCCAGATTCTTACTGTAGACTGCTCCTTTCATGTAGACCTCTCAGATTCTTAATGTAGACTGGCTCCTTCCATGCAGACCTCTCAGATTTTTATTGTAGACTAGCTCCTTATACACACACTTCCCAGATTCAAACTGTAGACTGATATTCTCGCTCCCACAGAGGAAACTCCCTGGACACCAGTATTGCTGCACGATGGCAAACTTCCACATGGGAAAGAAGATCGGCAGGGGCCAGTTCAGCGAGGTGTACCGAGCCACGTACCTGCTGGAGAGCAGGCAGGTTGCTCTGAAGAAGGTCCAGGTATGATTTTGTGTGCAGAGTGCTTTGAAGGCAGGGCCTCTGTGAATAAACTGGAAACAAGTGGGACTTAACTTCTGTTTCTGTTTATTTCACTCTAGATATTTGAAATGAGGGATGTAGAAGTGCGTCCGGACTATATCAAGGAAATAGACCTTCTGAAGGTAAGTTTGACTCGAGAAGACTTTACCCATGCTTTGGGGCATGGTAGCACTGTGGTTAGCCCTGTTGACTTGCACCCCTGGGATCAAGGTTCTAGTCTCTGTCATGGCTCCATATGTGTGGAGTTCTTATGTTCTCCCCGTGTCATCATGGGGTTTTCTCCGGGTACTCTGGATTTCCCCTCACTGTCCAAAAACATTTGCTCGTGATTTCCTTGGCTTTGGCGCTACACTTTAATGGTCCTTGTGATGACAGGGAAGTGAAAGAGGGTAGAAGTGTGAAGAAAGTGGGAGAAGAGCATGGGAGCAGGGAGCCCCTCCCCCTCAGGCTGACACTCAAGGGCCACAGCACTGCTTGTGAGCTGCTAGAATTAACCTGGTAACAATGTATTTCTGTTTTCAGGAGTCAGACTTCGGCGCACATGTGCTCTCGTGATTTGTTTTTTTTTGTGTGTGTCTCGGAAAATGACTTGAGCCATAAACAGATCGGCAAGTTTTCGGGGCCAAGTGTGGGTCTGCGGAGAAACGAGAGGTGAAATGGGGAGCGGATCTCATGCGGCTGGCATCCGATTCACCCTTTAGTTCGTGTAACCGCACCCCCCCACCCACCAAAGGGCAGATGAGCTCATACAGGGGTCTGACCTGGGCAGTGGAGAGTAGTGCTGTAATCCCCTCTCACCCTCCTCACATTCTCTTCCGTGAG